CCCTGCACACGTGGTTGAACCAGCTGGACTGCTTAGATTATCCCTTCCCCTACCTCACCCCAGATTCTGCCATAAGTCCATATAAACCCCCACACTAGTAGCTCCATGGCTCCCTATTCTCTGCAACCCTCCTGCTATAGGGGAGATCTGCTCTTTCTCTCTTAAACTCCCACCTATGAATCTATAATAAATTTCATGGTCCTTGAATTTCATTCTTTGAATTCTTGAGACAAGACTCCAAAGACCACTGACTCAGTGAAAATTTTGTGCGACTGTGAGCGTCCAGCTCCCTAATGTCTGAGTCAAACCCACCCAAGTGCCAAGAAAGGCTCCGCTGCTCTCAGATACGATATTCCTTCTCACTTCTTACTACACAGGCTGTTTCTTGGTTTCTACTTTCATATCTTTATTAGATCAAGAACAGAAAATAACAGGGATGTTAACCATCCCCCAGAAGGTAAGCAGTCACTTAGGCCAGGGTCACTGCAGGACGCCCTTGCACATGCCCAGCTCGAGCATCTCCACTCTCATGTCCATATTGTGATGGCATTGGCCATGGCCTTGATTTCCCAGCTGACTAAGCCTTACCAGAATATGTTGGAGTTAGCCTGAGAGACACAAAGGACTTTCTGTCCAAATTTCAGGAATTACCAGAAAGCAAGGAAACCCCAAAAGAGAATAGGCAAGGTAAATGTTGACAAGAATATTAGAAAGCCTTTATCAGAGGAAGACTTAGAAAAATAATGACTTCCACAGTTTCAAAATAAGTTCTCAACAATATCTATTCAACTACTTCATCACTTATCTATATTTGCTAAGCTGAGTTACGTAGAGGTCAATTAAGAGGTCAATAATGAGTACTAACCCCAAAACGAAATCACAAAGCATGTATTAAAGACAACTAGCACTTACTAAAGAGCTTATGCTTCGTGAAAACAGAAGTGGCCAGATGTGGTGGCATCTTTAAGCCCAGCATTTGGGAAGCAGAGGCAGGCAGGTTTCTGTGAGTTTAAGGCCTGGTCTACATAGTCCAGGACAGCTACAGCTATAAAGTGAGACCCTGTATCAGAAGAAGAAAAGAGGAGGAGGAGGAGGAGGAGAGGGAGGAGAAGAGGGGGAGGAAGCAAACAAGAGATCAGTCAAATTAGAGTAAAATTCTTTTTTTGTAGAGTTCCTGAACATTATGTTGCTCTTGCCAGTCTCCAATGATTCAAAAATCCCTGAAGATGTCAGGGTGGAGGGTGTTTAATACTTGGGCTTCTATTATTTAGCCACTGAATACAATGAGAGTTTACTATGCTGGCCTGACAAATATCATCTGTATATTTGTATGAATAGCTTTCTCTCACTGGCTGAGTTTATTTTTATCTGTGGATGGAAATATTGACTTTTTCCCTGGGAGTGTTGAGTGAGTGCATTTCTGTACCGTGGCATATCAGATGTGTGAAGCAGTGAAATCGCAGCCCATTTCTCTTTCTGGTCTTTCCTTCGGTAGTACCCTTATTTTTAATGAAAATGAACTTGCTAATTCTTGAGCTGTTAATATTTGAGAATGCAAGGGAGTCTGCTCCATGTGAAGTGTCACGTATCACAAATTCAAAAAGAATGCCAGTAAACACTTCTGTAAATATGCCTTTTGACTGTTCTCATCCGGTGTAAGTCTCCATGCACCATCCCTTTCCTATCTTAAGCAGCTCTGTGAACAATTCGCCTGTCTATACCTAAAAGGCAAAGACTCTTTTTTCCCCTTCTTTCTTTTTTCTTGGCAAGAATACTTGGAAATTTTAAACAATTTAAACATCAGCTGACTTATGTTCCTATTACCCTTTCACAAAATGTCACGCATTCCTATTTGTAATACTAATGAACAACCACCAATTGTTTTAATTTCATTATTTTTTCAGCTAAAAGACTGCTTAAAGAGCACAGAAATAGCTCAGCTTTCTTTTTATAGATCTAACTGGTGAGTCTGAAACAAGTTTATATTGAAAGACAAAAAAAAAGCCTTCTGATTTTTTTCTCTATGAATAGAATTCTCTTGGTTAAACTGCCTTCTTTATCTATCCCTTAGCTGAAGAAAACAGGCTCCAAAGAGAGATGCCAAGACCCAAAGCTTGCAGGCTTTTCTGGAGGCCACTCTGGGCATTCATTGTATCTGCGCAGGACTGAATTTTATTTGCACTCTCAGAAATCTGTTAAAAATAGCCAGAGAGAGCCCTGCCACCTTAAATGGTAACAAAGTCTAGGAGGGCAGATGTCCTAGTTTGTTTCTTTATTGCTGTGACAAAACACTCTGACCAGTACCAACTTGGGGAGGAAAGGGTTTATTTGTCTTACATCTCCCAGGTCGCAGTTCATCAGGGAGCCCAAGGTAGGAACTCAGGGCAGGAACATGGAGGCAGGAGCTGGAGCACAGGCCATGGAGGAACGCTGCTTATTGGCTTGCTCCCTTGGCCCCTGCTCAGCCTGCTTTCTTATGCAACACAGGCCCACCTGCCCAGGGGTGGCACCACCCACAGTGGGCTGGGCCCTCCCCTCCCACATCACGCATCAATAAGATGCCCTTCAGACTTGGCCATAGGCCAGTCCAATAGAGGTAATTCCCCGATTGAGGCTCCCTCAACCCAGGTGTGTCAAGTTGACA